CCATTGGAAGGGGGGACACCATTGGAAGGGGGGACACCATTGGAAGGGGGGACATCATTGGAAGGGGGGACACCATTGGAAGGGGGGACACCATTGGAGGGACACTCGATAAAGCGGATCATACGCTCTGAGATTTTCTGGATGGGAGATAAGGGCACAGCATATAGTCCTACTATGGGCAGCGGGGGAGGGGCAGGAAGTGACTTCATATATCATGATTGGATGATATATTATCTACAGAGCACGGCCAATCATCTGTCATCAGCCTGCTCTCTCCTGGGCAGCAGAGCTTACACTCATAACAGACACACTTACTCTGCTGGAGATTTGCTGAGCTCCTCAGTGTCGGCTTCATCTGTAGCCATTGAAGAGAAGGTGGAGCTCGGGGCCAGGATGGGGGCTGTGTGGCCCCTGCTCTGCTCATCGGAGCCCAGGCTGGAGGAGGAGCTACCAGTATCCAGACTGAGAGCCGAGGACTCCGCCTTGCTCTGACTTCCACCAATCATGGAGTGGTTAGCATCATCCGAGCTGGAGGACTGAGACACGGAGTCCAGGGACTTCCTCCGGTGAGGTTCGTAGGGAACGAGGGGTTCCGTGTCCTCCAGCCACAGGCCGGCTAATGACAGAGGTGACAACGTCCATTCATTTAATATTGAAGACTTGAAGGACAAATTGAAGGACAAGGAGGACAATCCCTGCAAATAGCTCAGCACCACGTGGCAGTCCTCGGAGTCCAGCATGAGGGAGAACGGCTGATAATAGTCCCCCAGACGAGACTTCTCCCGCTGCAAGGTCAGGAAATAACATTCCATCAGACATTCGTTCAGAGCCAGGCGCAGCCACGCGCGACACCGGCCCACGTCCGTGCTGATATACGTGATGTTCTCCAGCTGTGCGATCACATTCCTGGGAGACAGACCAATCAGGAGAGAGACGTCAATGCGGGGGAGGGGCAAGCTATAGAAACATACATTCCATACTTCACCCCATCCGATTCATTCCATCCCACCTCCACCCCAATGCACGTCCCACCCACGTCCCCCCCAATGCACGTCCCATCCCACGTCCCCCCCAATGCACGTCCCATCCCACGTCCCCCCCAATGCACGTCCCATCCCACGTCCCCCCCAATGCACGTCCCATCCCACGTCCCCCCCAATGCACGTCCCATCCCACGTCCCCCCCAATGCACGTCCCATCCCACGTCCCCCCCAATGCACGTCCCATCCCACGTCCCCCCCAATGCACGTCCCATCCCACGTCCCCCCCAATGCACGTCCCATCCCACGTCCCCCCCAATGCACGTCCCATCCCACGTCCCCCCCAATGCACGTCCCATCCCACGTCCCCCCCAATGCACGTCCCATCCCACGTCCCCCCCAATGCACGTCCCATCCCACGTCCCCCCCAATGCACGTCCCATCCCACGTCCCCCCCAATGCACGTCCCATCCCACGTCCCCCCCAATGCACGTCCCATCCCACGTCCCCCCCAATGCACGTCCCATCCCACGTCCCCCCCAATGCACGTCCCATCCCACGTCCCCCCCAATGCACGTCCCATCCCACGTCCCCCCCAATGCACGTCCCATCCCACGTCCCCCCCAATGCACGTCCCATCCCACGTCCCCCCCAATGCACGTCCCATCCCACGTCCCCCCCAATGCACGTCCCATCCCACGTCCCCCCCAATGCACGTCCCATCCCACGTCCCCCCCAATGCACGTCCCATCCCACGTCCCCCCCAATGCACGTCCCATCCCACGTCCCCCCCAATGCACGTCCCATCCCACGTCCCCCCCAATGCACGTCCCATCCCACGTCCCCCCCAATGCACGTCCCATCCCACGTCCCCCCCAATGCACGTCCCATCCCACGTCCCCCCCAATGCACGTCCCATCCCACGTCCCCCCCAATGCACGTCCCATCCCACGTCCCCCCCAATGCACGTCCCATCCCACGTCCCCCCCAATGCACGTCCCATCCCACGTCCCCCCCAATGCACGTCCCATCCCACGTCCCCCCCAATGCACGTCCCATCCCACGTCCCCCCCAATGCACGTCCCATCCCACGTCCCCCCCAATGCACGTCCCATCCCACGTCCCCCCCAATGCACGTCCCATCCCACGTCCCCCCCAATGCACGTCCCATCCCACGTCCCCCCCAATGCACGTCCCATCCCACGTCCCCCCCAATGCACGTCCCATCCCACGTCCCCCCCAATGCACGTCCCATCCCACGTCCCCCCCAATGCACGTCCCATCCCACGTCCCCCCCAATGCACGTCCCATCCCACGTCCCCCCCAATGCACGTCCCATCCCACGTCCCCCCCAATGCACGTCCCATCCCACGTCCCCCCCAATGCACGTCCCATCCCACGTCCCCCCCAATGCACGTCCCATCCCACGTCCCCCCCAATGCACGTCCCATCCCACGTCCCCCCCAATGCACGTCCCATCCCACGTCCCCCCCAATGCACGTCCCATCCCACGTCCCCCCCAATGCACGTCCCATCCCACGTCACCGCCAATGCATGTCCCATACTAGACGCACGGCCAGAGGGACTCTCACGCCATCATATGTGATCACATGACTCATTCCATGGTCGGGGACACCCTCCATGTACACAAGCAGTGACTGACCGATGTGTGACGGCTTTGAGAAGCGCCCAGAAGGCGGGTTGGGGGATGGGCACGTGGCGCCCCTTATTCCTCCTCCTCTCTGTCTGCACTTTAATAAACTTTGCCTTTAGTCCATGAACGAACACGGCCTCCAGGGCCACACACAAGCCATTGGCGTCATCATCATCGCTGGTGATGACATCATCCGTCGTCACGTAGCGGATCTGCAGAGCGCGCAGCGAAGACGCCAATTTCTTCGTTATTTTCTGGAGATACAAAAAACCTATAATCAGTGAAGAGACATCACCCCAAACATGAGCGGGGGACCCCCACAGAGACCCCCCACAGACCCAGGGGACCCCCACAGACCCAGGGGACCCCCCACAGAGACCCAGGGGACCCCCCACAGAGACCCAGGGGACCCCCCACAGA